GGCCCGGGCCGGTGTGGCGCAGTGGATAGAGAGTCGGCCTGTGGACTTAAGGGTCCTGGGTTTGATTCTGGTCAGGGCACATGCCTGGGTGGTGGGCACAATTCCCAGTGGGGGGAGTGCAGGAGGCAGCTGATCAATGATTCTCTCTCATCATTGATTTTTCTGTCTCTCCCTTCCTCTCTGAAATCAATAAAAATATATATTATAATAAAAATTTTTAAAGAAAGATCCAGGACAACAACTGTGCAACACTTCTCTGCCACAACTCCACAGCCCGAGCAGGCATCACTAATCCATCACAGAGCTCCTTCCTGCTGGGTGGGGCACTGCTCAAGGGTGCCAGGTGGCACTGGGTGCCTCCTTGGATTAGGCAGTGAAAGGGCTTGGGTGGAGGATTAAGGGGAGAGGTGGACTGGAGCGTGGATGGATGACAAGTGAGGCCTAGAAGGCGGGGGAGGGCGAGGGCAGATGGGGGCTCCCGGCACCTGCAGGAAGAGCACCGAGTCGCTGATGCTGTGCAGCTGCTCCCGGGTCTGCTTGTCCTCCTGCAGCACCTGGGCCCGCTGGTCCAGGGCGTCCACGATCACCTTCACCTGGCCCACGGCGTCCTGCTCCCGCTGCTCCAGCGCGGCCCGCACCTCCTCCTTCTGCTTCTCCAGGTCCCGCACCAGCTCCCGGAAGCTCTGCTCCAAGATGGCCTTCTCGCTGGTGGTGAAGCTCTGGGGGCGGAGCGAGGGTGCCCAGGGAGGAGGCGTCCGTCACTGACACCGCCCTGGCCTTTAGGCTCCCGCGCAGAGTCTGGTCGCTCCCACCCCAGGGCCTGGTTGGCCCAGAAGCTCCCTGGAGGCCTCATGGAGAAAGGCCAGTTCTGACGGAGGTGGCCAGTGTTTACAGCCGCTGTTCCTATCCACCGGTGGCCCCACCGCCGCCACCGGTCCTCCCTGCCCCAGGGGCAACGCTGCGGGCCGCAGAGTGCCCGGGAGTCAGGCTGCGCTCCCTGGAACCTCAACCAGGAACCAGCACCTCCAGAAAGTGAATTGATGGATGTGTACGTGGCAGGGTCATGGGTCGGATGTGGTCTGCAATGACTCAGACCATGGCACACGGGCATCTAACCTCCCCGGCACAGTGAACGGGGAATGGCAAGCCTTTGGCAGCTGGTGGCCTGAGCAGACAAGGGGACATTGGAAGGTGGGTGGTTCTAGAGTCTGCCTGTCCTGGAATGATGTCACGTGAGTGTCAGGTGATGGGTAAGACCCACTTGTACCCTTGGCCCCGACTGAGAACGCCAAAGGGAGTGGGGAACTCGGGAAAAGACCAGGGTGGGGAGTCCGCGTAGGGCTGAGGCCGCCCACAGAGGCCGCCTCTGCTGGGGAGGGAGGGGCAGCGGCGCCGGGCAGCTCACCTTGATGCGGTCCTTCTCCTTCTGCCACTTGTCTGCTTCGTCCTCGAGCTCGATGACCTTGAGCTGCAGCTGCTCCTTCTGCAGGGAACCAGGAGGTCATGGTTCGATCCCAGTCAGGGCTCATGCCCGGGCCGTGGATCCGGTCCCCAGTGAGGGCCGTGCAGGAGGCGGCCAACCCATGATTCCCTCTCATCATTGATGTTTCTCTCTCCCTCTCCCTTCCTCTCTGCATCAATAAAATAGCTTTTAAAAAAGAAGGGGCAGCACCCACCCAGCTGCTGGACGGGGCTGGCAGCAGAGGCAGCGCCCGGCCTGAGGGCGGCCACAGGGAGACATGTGGGAGCCGGCGCCCGCAGGCGGCCCCTGCCCCGAGGCCCCTTGCAGAGGCTGCCTGCCTTTGGCAGCAAGTTCAATGGGGACTGCACTCCCGGCATCCAGTACCAATACCGCAGGTGCAGTGGTGGCTGGGGACACTGAGGGCCGTCGGTGGGTGCCAGCCGCGCAGGCAGCCAGGACTGACTGGGAGGAAAGTGCCCACGGCCGCGGGTCGCCCACAAGGGACCCACCGTTCTCCGCATGGCTCCTCTCAACGAAGCTGCGGCTCAGGTCGGCCTTGCACATCTTCTCCACGTGGCGC